GTGTTGTATAAAAGATTCTTGAAACGCTGCAATAAAAACACATTATATGGATGAAAACTATTCTTATTAATCACATATTAATTTCACTGCTTTTGTTTACCGTTCTCTACAGAACAGCAGTGAGTCAAAACTCCTAATTATGAAGTAACTTTCTGATCCTAACTCACATTTCTGCTCTGCAAATCAGAGATGTTTCTTTCTTCAAGCAGAGAGAGTATAGGTATTTAGAATATTTGTGCCATGTGAAGTGAAATAAACACTGTTGATCAAATTGACCAGTGTTGTCATCTTGTTAGGCAGCTTCTCTGAGACCACCACAGCCGTGGTGGTCCAGATTCAGCGCTCTTCAGCGATGAAGCTTTTGGAGTTCAGATTTGACAAAACTCAGTCGACACTTGGAATAACTATCCAGCAAAGATGCTTACAGAACAAAACAACATTTGTTTGATGTAAAAAAAACAGACTTTATTTTAATATTATTGGTTTAACTTTAATGTAGTTGTTAAATTTATTGATGCTTAAAAAGACACTGACTCTCCAATCAGCGGTCTAGTTTCCTTTAGAAAGACCCTGACCTTTTTTAAACTATGTTCATGGACATTATTTAAGTTGGATCAGTGTCAAAAATACATCTGCTGCCTAAGTTTGGATTTTAATTTATGAGCTGAAGATTTGAAAAGATATCTCCCGAATTAGTTGTTTATATTTTATTCATTGACACTATGAGCATTAAATAAATGTTATATTTCTTATTTTATTACACACTTATTTTACATCATAGTTCTAAGATTAGAAACACATTTTCAGGCTTTTTTTAGGTGCAGAAAATGAAACGTTCAGAGTTGTCTTAAGAACTTTTAATCTTTCAAACTAAATACAAGATATCTTGTTATTCAAAGTTCCCTAAAAGTTAAGATAAAGAAAGTATGATATCTGCTGAGACTGACTTTTTCTTCAGGAAAAATCACTTCCTGTGTGGCAGCAGAAAAAATGTAAAGTTTGTGTATTTCATCAGGGTATTTGTGTGTATGAGCTCTGATCCAAAGCAGCAGACATAAACACAGGAAATTAATAATTTTCATGCTTATTCAAAGCATATATCAGTGTCACTGAGTTGTTAGTTTTTTTTTATTAAACCTTTAATATGAGAAGTGATGTAAATGTTAGCTACTATAGACAGCTTTTTAAATTTCACCACACTCCAAGAGCTGCTATTAAATCATGAAGACGAGGCTCAAAATAAAACCGTCCCTGTCTTGAGGCTTTAATGTGCTGTAGGCATGTATAGGTCACGCTACCAGCTTTTCCTTTTTTTTTTTAACCTGTAAAGATTTTCTTTCCTGTTCGACATCAGGAATTCTGCAGGGCTATTTTTATTTCATAATGATACTGTACAGAGACATTCAAACTGTCTTCAGCTGCAACACGGAGACATCTTGTCCACAGTAATATGAGCGTCGTCATTTATTTTAGTGGCTGAGTGGGAAAGATCTGACTGTTTATATAAAGCTGTGTGATTCTGCAGCAACAAGACAGAGATATGAGTTTATATGCACAGTTTGAGATGCAAACAACTGAATGTGAGATTTAAAGAAAAGCCTCTTAATGTGCTGTATTATTGTTAGCGGGCCCAGCTCCTGAAAGATGACTCACATCTCATGGAGTTACATTTCACTCTTTTTTTAAAAGCACTTTCTCTCTTCGCTGTTATCACTGCTGCCACAAGACCCAAACTCACATTCAACTTTCACTATTTTTCAGCTTCTGAGTCAAATACTGGATAATTGTGGACTAATTCCCAAAGCTTTTCTAAAATTATTTAAAAGTTAATAAAGCAAGTGTTTACAGTCTTTAAAAATATTCAGTTAAAAATGAAAGAATTATGATTTAAATTTATGTCGTTATTATGTTTGTCTGGGCTGCTCACAATCATCAGCAGGCTGCTTTTATTTGACATCCTCTGCCTGTATTGACCCTCCTTCTCCTGCATGTTATCATGACAACTACAGCTGAGTTTTGACCCAGCGGGGTGTGGCCGAGGCCTGACCAAAAGGCTCTGAGTCAGAGTGTTGTTTTTCCAGTGCTGTGTGCGTGTGTGTGGTGGTGGTGGGGGGCCTGTAGACTGATGATGACTGTTTCAAATCAGAGTCTACAGAGGACTGGCAGTCAGAAAAATAAAACAAACAAAATCTGTAAAGAAAAAATGCAAAAAATGTTTTAAAACAATACAGACATAAAGGTTTTACAGAGCAAAGATGCTTTTTTATTAGAGAAATTCACAACATATAGTAGATCTGGACAAGGAGTTAACAGCCACACCTTACTGCCATTGGGTAAGTACATCAAAGCAACAATTTTATCTTCTTGGGTACCAAATTTTTGCTTGGAGTTAATTTTTGTTTTAACAAAACATTGATTTGTGTTAGCTGATTTGTTTAAAACTAACCCTATCACTTAACCCTAGCCAAACCTTAACCCCTTGCCTAAGCCTTAGCCTAAGAATAGCCTGAGCCTAACCGTAACTCTAGTCAAACCCTAACCCTATAGTCAAACCGTAACCCTATCCTAAACCTAAACCTAACTCTAGCTTAACCCTAACCCTACCCAAATCCCAATCCTAGCCTAAGCCTAACCCTAATCCTAACCATTGTGGTGGAGGCTAATGAGGATCTAATTTATTTTTTTTTATTTATTTACCGTTATTTTACCAGGCAAATCCCATTGAGATCTCAGATCTCTTTTTCAATAATAATAATAATCTTTTTCTAATAAATAAACAAACATAAAAAAACATAATTTTGAGCAATTAGGAGTAAAAAATGTAAACATTTTTGTTTTATGTAATAATAAAATTGAAAATCGTGTTCCCCTGAATAAAGACAAATAAAATCAATATATTTATCATCACGATACAGGGTTGCACAAGGTTGTACTTTAATGCAATTAAGAGTAGCTTTACTGTAATTTAGGAAATGACAAGCTTCAATAAGATGTTTAGTGACAGAATGTTTCTCAATAAGTAATATTTACTATAAATAAAAAAATAAAATACTAACAGACATGTGTAGTTGATTCCCTGACTCCCTTACGCTGTATTAGCCAAATAACATAAATATGATTAGCCAAATAACATAAATATGATTAGCCAAATAACATAAATATGACAAAAACAAAACAAATCTAAATTTCTTTTGTGACTTTTGAATTTGGTTCCACCCCAAGACTATAGTGTCCACCACATGCCCCTAAAAAAAACTCCAGCGCCACCATGGCATAGAAAGAAACAAAACAAAAGGATTTGTAAACTTCATTTGACACATTTTGTTTCTTTAAAGTCTTAATAATCTATTTTTGTTAAGGCTGATTTATAGCTCAGAGAAGGAAATAACAGTAGCCTGAGTGTGGAAGGAAGGAAGGAAGGAAGGAAGGAAGG